GTATCAGAGAGAAGGAATATAGACACTTGAGACTTCAAAGTCTCAATTTGAGTGTAGTCATCAAATTGTCAAGTTGTACTCTATGATTTTATCATTTTTTTTTCATACTTTGCTGGTTGGTAGTACACTCTAACGAGGTCCCGGAACAAGAGATACCAGCGGAAAAGAGAAACGACGAAGAAAATACACCAGCACGACAGAGCATCATCGTCAACGGTGTGTACCAGCATCTCACTTTTTCTCGTTTTATTTCCTTTACTTTGGTCTCTCTTTGCCAACCAAACGGCGTCTATTTTAGTCGGGAGAACGACGGTGGCGGGACAAAAAGCCTGCGGCTTTACTCCCCTGGACCTCTCTTTTCACCCGACATCTCTTTTCTCTTTTTACTCTTTTTCACCTCCGTGCACCTCTTTTTACGCTGCCGACGAGATGGCCGTGCCCCCTTTACCCCGTGCGCAACGCGATCGCGCACGTGAGGGAGAGAGGTGAGGAGAGAAGCGCAAGCAAGTATATGGGAAACGTTTGAGTGGATGAGAGGAGAAAGAGAAGAGTGGAAGAAGCTGAGATAGGCTCTATCAAGTCTCTTGGCGAATGGAGACTGAGATGGAGAGTGGGATGAGTGTTGGATTCTGGAAGAGCTGTAGGTTGAGGCTCCCTTGGCGGCCCGCTACTAATTGCCGCCAGCCGCTCCTGGCTACGGGCCGCTGAGCATCGCGTGGGCCACGCACCCGACTCTACACATTCGCCGTCATGCTCTTCGTCCCAGGGTTATAGCCGTGACTGCTTGTAGTTATAAACCGCCACCTAAACCACGCTCATCTCAGACCATTTTGCCGACCCACTACGCTTTCTTCATCTTCTGATGTTCTTTCTCCCTTCACTTCGCTCTCCCTCCATCCTCTTCATCTTCCTCCGCTCATTCTTCCCACTTTTTTTACACACTTATCGGCTTGTACGGCCAGACGATCGAGTGCTGTTGGATAGGCACGTCCACACCAGAAATACTTGCCGTAACCCGTTCATGTCACGACCTCATGTCAAGCCGATTTATCACGAGCTATAAATGCTCCAATATATCACGCATGAGAGATGATTTTAAGGTTGTGATTAGTCTCGTATTACAAAACAGATAGAAATTTCATTGCACATGTTTTCAGGTACTACTGAAGTTAATTAACATGGATATGATGCTCTAAACAGGGTGAGGTCTATTCGATGCTTATCGAATCAACGTGAATGGAGTCGCGCCAACGAGCCAGTCCGTTGATATGGAATAAAACCGAGACGCGCAATATATACTAGCTAATTGGCGACGCCTCGCTGACGATGCTAACCTGACGGTGTGCACTCTGAGCTGGCACTCGAGGTCGACGATAAGTGGCACGTAACCGCTTAGCTATAACTGTCGGAAAGATCAAGAGAACTACCGACGACTTCAAGTAGAAAATCCTACTTTTTTCCTCTCTCCAGTAGAAACAAAAAATTTTCTTGAAATTTACTTCAGTCTTATCAGCCATTTTTTCTCTTTTTTTTCACTACTTTAAAAAGTTTTAACAGCAGTTTTCGTGTTTACATTTTGAAAGTGTTTTTGGAAAAGAGGACTAGATGAAGTTATTGGAGATTTTTGCAATAATCGTATTTCGTAAACATCATCACTCGTATTAGCACTACACTGTTCAATAAATTTTTTCTAAAAAACTCCTTCTGTAATAATTTAATAAAAAAAGCATCAAAAAGAATAATTTTTTTAGTAGAAAGTTAAATTAAGATGGATAGTACTTGAAAATATAAATTGAAAAAAAAAATCACAAACATTAAATAAAATAAAGATACCCACAATTTGTTCATTATCATTGTTATAATGCAAGACAACAATTTTTTTTAATAGCATAATTAATTTTTAAACAATCATAAAAAAATACCTTGGCCCTAATCGTTTTATGATAATTAAAAAGAAAATGTAATTATTTAAAACAAAAATATTTTTACATCCAAAAAAAAAAGAATATTTTATTCAAAAAAAATTCGATAAATAATTAAAAAAATTAGTCACCCTCAATTCCCCTAAAAAAAAACCACACTCTCAAGTCAAGAATTTTTTTCACAATTTATCTTCTTGAGATCAACGGCTCTCGAAAGTATAAGTTGCAGAATATTTTTTTTCACAAGTAATATTTTTTTACGTCGTCGTAGTCGCTCAAGTTTCCGCAGGCGTGAAAAATCGATGCGAGTCTCGTTACAAGGAGTTTGCTCTTGACGGCCTCGGCGAACATTTTTGCAAAACGTGCAAGCAGCGGCAGCAACAAGAGTGTGTGTATCCCCAGGCGTCAGATCGCCACGAGCATTTTATACTCGAGAGAGAAAAATGCTCAGAGGGTTCGAGAGAGCAAACTCTTCTCTACTCCCTTTCTCCTCTACAAAAAGAACGACGTTTTCTCTCGTTTCTATCGTTCGCCCTATATACATATAGAAGGCATATAGATATTGCTGCGGGCTGCTTCTCTCTTTGGTGCGTGACTCAGCCGGACCGTGTAAAAGAACCGCCAGCAGTATATGTAGTGTATACAGAACTACTGCTACCCTCACGATTCACTCGTCCCCCGTATTCTGGTCTGCACGTGCGTGTATATCTACTTTCATCATCCATCCAACCGGCGATAATCATCGAGCGAGAGTCCGTGACCGTCCGGGGGGTCTAAAGGGGTGACGTGAAACCAAGGGGCGCCATTAACGCGTGACACTCGCCTACACTATTCTTTTATAGACTTTTTACCTATATCTATGCTTGTTATATCGTTCCAAGTGTATGGTTTTATAGGATTAAAAGAGGACGTTTGATTTTTTGTAATCAAAGACAAACTAAATGCAATACCTGTCTATTGTGTTTTTATCGGAAAAAATAAAGGTCGGCGATTAGTTGATTGGAAAACAAACGAAACCTGTTATCAGCACAGAGATTTAGATATTGAATTATTGCTTTTTTTTTTTGCTTCTATTTTTGAATCTTGCTCGGATTTATTCGTATACACAAGACAATTTAAATCAAATCACGAGCGATATCATTTCCATGCGAGAAATTTTCCAGCGACGGCTGCTTTAAATTTAGAAGATTGCTGATGATATCTGGACAACGCTAGTCATCGTGATGCTCATATTTTAATAACTACAAGTACTTTTAACTCCTCTATTATTGTTTTCTATTTTTTTTTTCATTCTTATTCAATTAACAAAATGAAATCATTTGTGAATAAATTTTGGAGTAAAAATGGCAAAAAATGGTTGGCTTATTTTGAAGAATCTTTAAGTTGAAAAATTTATTATTTCTGATAAATAAATAGGTTTGTTTAGAATTAAATTTATATTTAAATTTTTCGCTCTTTACACCAAGTAAATTAGTTAAAAAAAGAGTAAAGTAATGATGAAAAAGTGAAAAATAGATTATCTAGTTTTAGTTCTTTATTATTGGAGCTAAAATAATTTTAATGCTTTAAAATTGAAATTCCACTTGTACGTATTCACGTTTGAATGAACTCAAAAACAAATTGACGATATATTCAGTCAAAATAACTCTGTAACTCCGAAAACAATAATTACGAATTTGTATGATTTCATACAAAATATATCCACAAATGTAAAGCCACAAAAACCTGTTATGAACTATAGACTTTAACCTATTATCCAGTTAAGATGATATCTACTATTTTGTGTAAAGTATGCGCATAGAAAGTGTGTTTATTTAAATCATTAAATTGATGAGAATGCTTTTAGATGGAATTGAGAGATGTTATAGTAGATAATAAATGCTAAAATTTCAACTCAAATATATTCAAAATATATTATCAAATGAACTTTCTCGTTGTATTCTTATCTTGGGTATATCCAACGACACTGAGGTAATGGAGTAGCTAAAAATAAGCAATAATGAATCAATTAAACACCTTCTGATTGATGTAATTTTATTGCGAAAAATAAAAGTCGGTGATTGGTTGATTGGAATTAATCCGAAGCTGTTGTCATGTATAAGATTTACCTTGGGCATGAATTTATTCATTAATTTATAGTTATAAAAATGGTGAATATAGCAATAGCAGTAAAAATGGAAATGAAATGGTTCGGAGAAAAAGTATTGAGTTTTGTGAATGCATGATGAAATGAACCGGACGCAGTGCCAAGTAATTTCAGAACGGTATTTCGATCGACGGAGCTGGTGTATCGTTGGTGTATGTGTGTAATCATACAAGCTCTGATACCTACGCGCGTAATCGCGTGCGGCCACATATGGGCACGTTATGTACGAAACACACCAGCATTGGATATAGGTATACCCTGTACGGGACCTTTAACGTGGCTGGTGAGTCGTAGTAGAGAGTAGTCGGGACGATCAATGACAAGCTCTCAACATCTCTGTCTATGGCATTGGGTTGCTGTATAGCTTGGATCTTGTTTCTCTCCATCTCTCTTAGGCGCGACCCTGCAGGGAAGCTCAATCAAGATAGACGCGTGAGAGGCTTAGCACCGTGAGGCGAACACGAGCGGCAGAAATTCAGTGCAACGTGTGCGAGCGAGAGAAGCAGCGAGACGGCGAGACGTGGATGGAATAGAGGATCGAGTGGAATGGAGAACGGAGAGGGAAAATAGCGGCACAGCCTGTCCGTGCCTCTGCTTCGGAAAGTGACTAATGACTAGCCGACCGGACCTGCTATCCTTCTCTCTCGCTCTCTCTTCTTCTCCCTCATCACGTTTTGCCTTTTCACGCCACCCAACGAGTGAGATGCAGAGGATGTGCTGTATATGCAAGAGAAATCCATGGAGAGATGTCGCCAGCCACGTTGTCATTGTCGACTGGTTTGCCATGATAAAGTGCAGGATCATGGGAATTATTTCATGCGAGTTTTAAAAATCCCCCGGGTGAATTTTGTCGAGATATTTTTACGACCATCCTTAGTCATCGTGCAGTTATAAGAATAGTTGATAAAAAATAAAAAATGTTGAAGGCTTACCTTATTGTGTGGCAACTGCGTGGGCACGTAGAGAGGTGGGTCCAAGCCTGGACTTGTGACAGCATGACGGCCGATTATCCTGTCTGCTGGCTTGGCATCATAACCTTCCGGCTGACCAATGTGGAAACCCTTACTCTTGACCCAAAACCGGAATTTACTATTCTCCGCGCTGTTTACCTCTTCACCACGTAAAGTGCGTAATATTCTGGCATACTTTTTAATTGTAATTGTCTTGGTTTTAGCGAGATCCCCATAAGTCTTAATAACCCATGGCTGATACGCGTTAAACATTCCATCGTTCTGGAACTTGGGAACATTGACATTGTCACTTGGTTGAGCAGCAAGTTTACTCGTGTTATAAGACATTCCTGGACTTGGTACTACACCGGAAAACGCCAGAGGGACTGTAGACTTGGCTTCCGGAACTGCAGATGGTTTACTGCAGGCAGAAGAACCGTAACCGTTGATTCCACTTGCTGAAGAGTTGCCAAGAGAACCGCTAGTCATGTTGGATATGTCAAGGTATGAGACTGACGAGTTCTTGCTGAGATTTGTTGCATTACCGACGAAGGTCGCCATGGAGGTCGCCATGTAGGGAATAGTCGGTGGCATTGTTAGGTTTGCACCACACAGACTTGATTGGCCACCAGGAACACTCAAGCCTGACATAGCTGAGAGAGTTGTAGGTACAGGCCATGGTGAGGAAGTCAGTACATTAAATCCCCCACTCAAATCAGCTTCATGTCTAGCCATAGAAGCATTGGTAGAAACCACTGATGTAACTGACGATGAAGTCTGAGGACTTTTAGCTCTTGATTTAGACCCAGATGTCCGTTTTGATCCGTGATTCCCATCCACATTACTTGTAGATCCCGAGGCATTAGCTCTCCCTGACAATCCGGAAGTCCCTCGAGACTTCTTGGTAACTGGCTCGTCTCGTCCGCTCAATGAGTTGAGATTACCGTGGGACGGATTGTTGTTATTCTCTGACCTCGAGCGCTTGCTCGCTGACGTAGTAGATTGGTGGGATGCAGGCGACGGGGAATTGTTGACTGGTACACGACGACGTAAACCCATAGTTGCACTTGCCATTGTTCTTACTCGTTTACTTTTAATCCCAGCGATTTCTCGTTGGAAAGCTACACAAATCGATGATCGTATCGATGATCCTTGTGTTCACACCGTCCACTTTGTTACTTTCCTCTTTTTTGTGGCATTCTCACTCGATTTAACGACATCTCACTTGAAAAAAAACCCACGATCTAGATCCCGGATGTGTCCCAGGATAAGAAGGAACGAGACTCTTGACCTGAAAGAAGAAGAAGAAAAAGTTTGATAAGTGATGAGGAAAATTAACTGAGCAGTCGATTACATTGCGGAAGCGTTTAAATGCAAGGGGTGCCCGTTAATGGACTGGTCCGTTCAATGTCAGGAGGTATGAGAGATTGTTGAAAGGGTGGGAAGGGCTGATCCACGCGAGCTACCGAGGGGCTGATTATAAACCGCGGGAATATAATGTGTGGAATTAGACCGAGCAAAGTGGCTTTGACTTATTAAATAGCAAGTGTCGAAGGGTGTGACTCGATGCTCTTTACTATCACGAAAATCTTGTTTACCCTGCCAGTCTCATCACAGTAATTACGACCCTTCTTGCGCGCTTTGGTAAACGACTTTGCAAGGTATCTCACCACTAAGAAAATTCCTTCCTCGTCGTTGTCGTCGTTGGAATGACACTGGCCTCGTTGGAACGAGACTCAAAGTTTAACGAGCGCCCTAAGGCAGATAAAAATTCCGTTTCGTTAAGACTGCAAAATAGTCCAAGGTGAGAATAAGACGACTACGATATGGAACTAAGAGAAGACTTTCTGAGTATCTGCACCACGCTATGTCCGCACAAATTGGAAAACCGGTTCGTTGACACTCAGTTCAAAATCTTACTCTTCGCAGAACTACATCATTTTTTTTCGCTTTGGTTTTCATCATTGATTCAACATATGGACACTCGAGACATGTATGTTTACAACACAAGTAGTGAGTTAAATTATTTAACAACTGACTAAATATTCGACATTCTTCAGAAAAAAAAATTGTCCCGTTAAATCTGGTTTTTGGAGTAATGGAAAGTCGCCGACTAAATTGTTTAAATGAGGTGGCAAATAAGATTTCTATCAAACTACATACATTTTTATTTTATTACAAGAATAAAATTTTATTTAGTACACTCAAAAAAAAAAAAAAATAAATAATTAACATTTTTTTTTCAAGTAGTATGCTATAAATAATCTCCTAATTACTCCAAAAAAAAAAAGGAAATATTTTAAACTTTTATTAATAATTTCCACCATCAATATGCAGGAATATAAAACTCTAGCAATACAAATGAATTACGTGAAAATATTAAAAATTCAATTTTACCTAAAACTTTTGTTTGGAATATTTTATCAATTAAATATCAACACCTGGAAGCGATAAATCACACAAAAAATCAAATGCAAAAAATCCATCAACTGAATATTTTTATGAGTGTAGTTTTTTATAATCTCCGCGATAGTTAAAAACCCATAACTGATATGAAAAAAAAAAAAAAACTTTTAATCATATATTTAATAAATAACTTGCCTAGAAACAACAAAAATAGCATCAGCATATGGACCGCAAGTGATTCAATATAAATGCAATCGAATAGTGTATGGTTTAGAAGCACAGCAGTGTCCAATACCAACATACATAAGTGTACAATAGATTCCATACGAGATTCTCGGTCCTTGGTGCGACGGCCCGTGACAGTGGGGTCCCCAGTCATAGCTCTCGGTCTCATTCTTTGTCTCGCTCCGTCGCTCGAGGCTTACTAGCGTGTCACGATACTCTATGCAGAGCACGCGGGGCGTATTATGACGCGTGTTCCCATATACATATTGTGTGCGACATAAGCCGTCGGGTATACCCGTGAACGCGGCCACGAACGGGCTGTGGTGTCACGCTACGTGCTTCCTGCCTACTCTGATACGCGGTGACAAAAGACTACGTCCGACCTCCTCACTCATGTCTCGTGGACACTCGTGATCACAAAGTGTAATCAGTCTACTAAATTATCGATAATTCTTCCTGAGATCTTATTTTTTTTTTTCTACTTTCTACCAAAGTACACATTTCCTTCAAATTTTAATGAACCTTTCGTGCCGATGCTGCTGCTTGTAATTATTTTTCTTCGGAATTATTTTAATGATTGTTCTGAATTTTATCACGAAAATTCTCTACCGAGCCGTTATGTGACATAAATGTGTCCATTTATGATGACTTATATAATTATTAATATTGTATTTAATTTATAATTATCATTTTCTTCAAAATCATTCTTTTGGAGCAACGTGGGATTTTATTATGTAAAAAGCTTTGAAGTTTATAAGGTCTGTTATTTGACATGGATATGAACCTTTATGATTAATTTGATTGTATAAAAAATGTGGGTAAGGTCAGAGTTAAAATTAACACTGCAGTAAACATTAAAAAATACTTTATAAGAAGTCGTTTACGTCTTGGTTTGAGTGATATTTATATCCTAGGTTCTTTGTAGAAGTTGTTTGATAAAATATAATGTTAAAATTAGGAAGAAAAATGAATTCTAAATGATATCATTGGATTAAACTATATTTTTATGAACTCGAATTCGCGTTTAAAACAGAAACTGGAATGTAAATAAATAAAAAAGCCTAATAAAAATTATTTTCAAGTAATGAATCAATGTCATGAGTGACCAGAATGATTGACATAAATAAACATTGTGTCAGCCTATAATCACCACGAAATTGGATTATTTATCAAATACGAATCTATCGAAATCATATTTTATTTATTCAATGTACGAATGTATACATATTTCACCCTTTCTATAGTTTACCATGGGGTACAATATTTATTGCATAAATATGCAAAAGTTTACCTATGATCAGTACCACCTTCTTTGAATCATCATCAACATCAATCATTAATTTTATAGCATTTTTTTTATTCTCCATCAAAGAAAATTCTATCATTAATGTTTCAATGAAAAAATATTGTAAAAAAATTATTATTGATCATTTTAGAGTAATTATCAACGATAATTATAAAATGATGAACATTTATACTTCTGTAATGCTATTAATTGTAGTGGAGATTCATCCTGTATGATGTTCATTGAAGATTAATATCACAACAGTCAGAGAAACGTTTTATTAGTTGTAAAATTGTCATTATCATTACAAGCATGAACTCAGTCTTAACAGTCATTATTACTCCATTCTATAGCGTGAGTATAAAACAAAGAAAAATATCTAGGACAAAACAGGATTTTTGTTGGAGAAAAATAGATTTTGATAATGCAGTCATGCAAGAAAAAGATCAATTGATGAACAAGCTATATAATTATATTTTTACTTAATTGCAATTGTTTTTTAATTCATTCTATCGCTAAAAACTTGGATAATTGTACAAAATTTTTTTGATCTAAATTAAAAATAAATTAGCCATTTATTCATAAAAATTGCCACTAAATAATTTCTTATTTGCATTTATTTTTCAATGTATTTATTATTTAAAAAAAAAACATTAAATAATCATTGAGAATTTTTTCTTAATATATCTCTTTGATAAAAATATTTTAAAATTCATTTTAAATGTTGAAAAAAAATATTGTATTGATTGAAATCAATATTTTGATGAATTTGTTCACCTACTGATCTACCTACACTGCTTTAAATCATAATTATATTCATGGTCACATTATTTTACTCCACAAATAATAATTCTGTTTGAAATTCAAAACCAACACCCAAGCTCTACAAGAAAATCTTCCATCAAAATCAATAACAAAAATACCATCTGTATGATAGTTTAAAAAAGGTCGATTTTATTCGCAAGCTTTTGCTGGCATCAACTAGCAGTGGAAACAAGAGTATTTGTAAGAGATCCAAAGAAGCTTTGTTTCGATATATCACAACTCAACAAATAACAGGGTCTAGCAACGCGGAAAAAAACCTTGTAAGCGTTGAAACACACCCTCTAGCTTGGATGCAGTTAGACGATTTTGGCGTAGAGTTCGAGTACACGGACCGACAGTAAATTGAATTCCCAAACGGGCGGGTGTTGTGAGCTGGAGAGAGAGAGGCGTCCCGTGCCGGGCACCGGAACGCCAACAAAACTCGCGCGCGTTTTACTATCTGTTTCGTGTCCTCTCATTTCTGGTAGAATGCACGGTATTTTGAAATCCCGGACAAATCTATACTCAATACCTACTTTTCCTATAACCCGTCTGTCTTTCGTGTTCAATTATATGTTAACGATATGTCCACGAAGCATTAATTACATCGTGCCATATAAAATATGTCATTTCACAGCTGCTTGTATGGAATATGAGACTCATAAAGACGCGAATTTCACGATGATTCTCTAGTAGCATGTCTTGGGTCATTGTCTTACACTTGATAATGGATTCTTTTATGATGAAAGCATTATGATTGCACTACTGTTGAACGTTATCCCGTTCGTAAGAGGCAAAAAGAAGTGTTGAGACTCAAACCATGCGAGTTAACGACTGGTTGTAAAAAAGAAAAAAATCGACCTCGACACTGTCGATAGAAGAGCGTTAAAAAAAAAAAAAAAGCAGACAGCTGCGTGATAAGGATTTCCCATCGGTTTCCAAGGTGTTAAAGTATCGTAAACGCGGCGGGATCAAATGGAAGAGACAAGTATGTATAAAACAAAACCATTAAATACCAACCTGTGAAGTATTATTATTGAAGATTTATGATTAGCTTATCGCAATCTATATCCTAATCCACCGCACCCAAATAATCGAGTTAATGAAAATGAAGCAACATAATAAATGTGACTAAATAATTTTTGTATTCAACAGTCACAAAGGTTCACTTTCAAAGTACTTTCGTCACTTGTCACGTACTGTCACACTTGGAAAACTGTTGTTATCACTGCGCTGCAATTCTCAGAAAGTCTGAATGTGTATGAGAATCGTTGGAAAACAAAAAGTTATGTCCAAACGAGAGAAAAAGAAGGAGAACAATTGTCTGGCCGGTCAAGCGGTATCTCACCCGCGAAAAGCGTCCCGCGATCAGGTGACACGCAGGGAGTGTAGGTAGCACGGGAGCAGCAGTGAGCAGCGTTACGATACGAGAGAGAAGAGCTCACGAATCGTGACACGACGGCAGCGATAGTTTGGTGGAGAGCGGGGAGTTAGAGCGCAAGCACGCGCTGGAGGGAGCAAGAGAGGGAGTGCCGGGTGCGTAAGCGAGACGGCGAGCAATGTGGTGTTGGTGGCGACGATAGTGGAGGGGGTGTTGGAGGAAATAGTGGCGGAGACTGCGGAGAGGGGAATATACTCGTTCTCTCTCTTTGTTGCTCAGTGATCGCTTCTGAGTGCAAACGGTTCGGCGTGCGGTGGGACACTGGCGGCCAAGCTGAAACTGCTGTGGATAGCGGGTGGCGAGCGTGCGACGCAACGGGACAGCCCGGCTTTACCAAGCTTCACTCTCTCTCTTGCCTATTGCACGCTCAGCCACACACATACACATTGCCAGGCCAGACTTTACTGCTGCTCTCTTTCTAACTCAACTCCCCGATGCTCTCTTCCGCAAGCGCGGGACCTCTTTTTCTCGCTTCCTTCTCCGGGACCCTCACGATATCCTTCTTTTCTCTCTATCACTCCTCGAGTTCTTTAGCACACTCTCTTTTTCAGTTCCTCGCCTCTCACCCCCGCGCACGCGCCACAATACCATATCACGAGGACTGCCAACGGCTTCTCGACGGAATTTCCTTTTGGCATCGTCGTGCTTTTGATCGATATCGATCGATCATATCGAATCTCAACTCCTCACTCAACTGCAACATTCCTCTCTTTCATTCACTCTATCTCTCTCTCGCTACTTATAGTCTTGGAAACTTCACCGTCTTTCCCGTGTCGCTTCTCACATCGTCACTCGAGTGTTCTAAACATCCGGACGACTTCCTCGAACTGCTCAGATTTTATATACATATACAGAACATGACTCGAGCTCGATGATATGGCTGCATGACGAGTTGCTATGCCAAGCTAAACACCCGAGGGAGTTATCAACGATCCAACGATTCAAAGCGTTGACAAATACAACCCGAGTGCGTCAAACTGTAAACCCAACATACTCAATTTTTACGGATGAAATTTATCCTCCAGCGGAAATCATTTTTCTTCGTTTAGAAAAATAGTACACTTTAGTAAAGTCTACTCTAGTGTAGGCTGATCACACATGAATGGATGACAGTCAAAGACCCGAGGATGAAGAAAGACATTTGCTCTGTAGGAGGCGGGTGCTCTATAACACCAGGCACGAGACTCAAAGGGGGACCCCATACACGCCAGCTAGGATTATTAAAATTCTGAAGGGGGTTTTCACAGTTACGACTATGTTAGAAGCTCTCGTATAAGCCAACTGGCGAACCCTCCTCGTATACAACTCCCCAACTTTTTGTCTGTCTTTCTAATGCACATGTGTATGTACACAGAACTGTGGTCCATGTTTAGCAGATCAAATGCCCCCCTACAATGATCCCAATCAACGCTGGCGCCCATTCACTCGTTCGGGCCAATCGTGGGTAATGGTTCTGTATCGTTAGAGAATGAGTGATATCGATCGCACGAAAGATGGACGACTGACTTCTCAAGTACTGACCGATGGCGTGCAAAAAACCAAGTTTACTCGGCTTTCTTTCTACTTCCAAGCCAGATGCAACTTGATATCAACACACACCCGAGTAAATAAGTAGTTTATGGTCGCATAGTGCTGACTCCATTTTTTCTGACACGTGAAATTGCGGTTTTTTGTCTTTACGTTCGTTTTGCTTAGGAGTGAGATGTTAAATCGAATAGCTAAGAATGATGGGAACACTGATAAGACATTCTAAAAATAACTATGATTTCAATTTGAACTCAACTTCTTCAAGAATTCATTTTTTATTAAATTATAAATTGAAAAAATATTCTATTAATCATTTGAAAACAAAAAAAATTAAAATTTAATAATTTTAAGTAATTAAACATTTTTTATTAATTATTTATACTGTTGATAAACTTTATTCCACAATTTATTTAATGAATTTAGCTGTATAATAATTAAATAGTTTATAAAAAATTTGAGAAAAAGAATGCATGATATTAAAAACAAATTTGTAACGGTTTTTATAATGTTTAAAAAATATTTGAATTAATTAAAAAAAAGTGTAGGGCTATACAAAAATGAGAAGTCAGACAAATTCAGGTAAGCGTAAAAATTTGGCACTTAAACACGTTAGGGAGTGGTAATATCACTGATAGTTGCTACCATCTTGCCTATTAACGAAACAAAGGGATCAAGCATACTGTGCTCACTGTGTCAAATTATGACAAACATTTGTTCCTTTAGTGGTCTGATCTAATTATTTTTTTGTGCCAAGCTGTGTTGAGTTTAAAGCTGTGAGAAGATAAGTGGATTGTAATCGATTTATGTCGCTCCAAAATTAATAAATTAATTCAAATGTGTAAAAAAATTATTTTTTTGAAGTTGAATTATTTTAGTTAACAATTTTGACGGACAAACACAATAGGATCCATGAAAAATTAATGTTTTTTTTACGCAAACCAGTATCTTTTGGATTTATTTCAAATTTAAATGCTCACATTACATGGGATAATAAGGGTAGACGACACTCCTGGTGAAATAACCCGCAACATGCGGTCACGTTCTCATCCAACGGCACCTTGCACAATTCAACACACAAAGAATTGACTCATGGGTAGCTGCTACAACAGTTCACTCAACTAATCTACTACCTGCTTCTAAAAAAAATACATCTATTCGAATGACTCCAAATATTATTGCACAAAAAAAAAAAAAAATAATTTATTGCCGTAACAGATCGAAAGTTCTTGCATGTTACAATGTTGATATTTGTTTTGTTAATAGAAAAATTTTGTAGATTTAAAAAATTGGGTCTGTAGCAGCAAAATAGACACAATTGTTGTCGTAACTGATAAATCAGTTGGGTTTAAAAATTTTTTTAATAATAAAGTTAAAAATTACAGTTTATGCCGTATATAGATGATGAATATACCTCAAAGAAGAAGAACAGGGGCCATAAAAAATTTTTTTCCGTATGTGAATGAGCAACTATTATTTTTTACGACTTTTTCTTAGAACAATAAAGCTCTCGAAATTTTTCGAACAGCAAAAACAAATGCTTTTTCCAAGATCATACTTGCATAATTTTTCAGAGACGTTCTTTGAAGTCATTGCAATAATTAATTTACTACTTATGAAGGTTTTTAAATGATAAAGAAAGCTTTCACTTTGATCTTGAAAAACTGTGCAAAAAATAGCTTGGGCCAGGGATAGAAAAAAAAACTGAATTAAAATAAAAGTTTACTATTTTAGACAGAGAAACTAAAGTCATTTGTAAATAGAAAACAATTTTAAATGATATATATTTATCCTGAGAAAAAAAAATATCAACTCGAGATATAGAAATGACTCTCTCATTTGTGTTGGTAAAGTGAAAATATAGCAAAAATAATTTGACATCTCCTGGTAAATTTTCATAAAAGTCTGTACGATAATTAGTCCACTAGTTATGAACATTTACGTTTTGGCTTTCATCTTGAATAACTCAGTAAAAAAAGCTGAATATAAAAAAAAAACGAACAAAAAAAGGAGAAAAATCAAACGAAAGATAAAAGTCTGCTCTTAGTGACAGAATTAATGGCTGTCCTCAAAAAGTAACCGGTAAGTGTTATTTTATACAAGCAGAATAAAATCGTTTAATTATTTTTTATCAATACAATAAAACATTCCAGAAAAGCCTGTAAATCAATGAGGCGACCAATAAAAGAATTGGTGAGATAGCTAGTACGTTTATAGGAATTCACCAGTAGAAAACCTTCTGATGCTTCCTCCATTCCACTAAAGCTGTTTTGAATTTTTTTTTTGGAGCAAAATTTAACGTCAATGAACTGATCAATTATTCACAAAGAATTAGAAATAGTATTTATTAATATGAACAGTACCATGGAATACTTTTATAAAATATTACTTATATTTAGCAATAATGAGGAAGATGTCTGCTTTTGAAGTATATATAATAATGACATAAAGTACTTGTTCAAAACCTATTCTTCAATATCCTGATGTAACATGGTTGATAGATTAAAGAGTCACTTTTATTCTATATTCGATAGAAATATTTACCATGAGAATTTTTCAATGCATAAATCTGAACTTTATCAAGGCAAATCTAGGAAGTATCAAGAGAATCTTAACATTTCCACAAAGTCCATCGACTTTAGTCCATAAAAGTTATTACAGGAATTTTGAAAATCATTGGAGCCCTTCATAGACTTCCGATAGAATTCCTTCACCAGAAAAAGAAAGCAACAAAATGTATATGGTAGTAGCATTAAAAGATAGCTATAAAACTACTGTTGTAAAACAGCAGTCTTACAGGTTATAGTGAGTTTAAAATGCTTGACACCCAGAAGCAACGGTCATAGATTAAAGAGAAAGAAAGGTAGACTTGGAGATACACTAATTACATTCTCCTCACCAATCACCAAGAAAAGGAATCACACGGATCGTCAGCGTATTATCTACTCGTAGGCAGGTTTCACCACGTTTCTCTGGACTTACGCCAACATTCAACGGATTAAAGCTTCTTGGCTTTCGCAGAAGCATCCAAGTGTTCCACTCCTTTCCGCTCTCAAACTGGAACATGACACGGCACATTCACGTGGCCGCACACTGACCCGATGCCTCGTTTTCTCTCTCAGCTTCTTACTCGATGTCCTCAGCCACTGGAGAGTTGATGTCAACGACGATAACGCCACTCTCTCACACCCACGATTTCGCCTAAAACCTGAAACACTCGCTAAGACACTTTATGGTGCAAGGGTCGACATCGCATGTGTGGGTGAAATTCACGTACATGAGCAACCAAGTCGTTGTCACGTACCACCAACACCAACAATGACTTGGAAGCTCAACGAAATTGCTGGGGAAAACTTGACTTCCGGGATTCGGTGCGAATAGAGAGGATATAAGCAAAGAACAAGAGAATAGTCTATTCCAAGTGATGGCTTCTGATTCGAACTGATAAAATAGTTATCCAATACATTCAACAATATTTAAATAGCTTTTTACTACTTGATTTTTTGCCATTCACACCAACGCTAACTGTAAAACTTGGACTTCAACTTTGTCGTCTATTTGTACTTTTTATTCGACCTTCTGCCCTCACCAAGTTGACTCTGTGGTTGACCTGCCAGAAGATTGAGGTGGGTGTTGGAAATTTTGTTCATGCGGTAAATTGGGATGGAAGGGCGCAGTAAAAAAATTGTCGATAGCAAGGAAGTTTGAAAGTTGATGTTGCAAGAGAT